TCCCCCGCACGTTTATTCGTTACCTTAGAGTAGGCCTACTCACTTCGAAAAAGCAACATAGGCTATTCGTCAATAAAAGCCATTTAGGCAACAATAATTCAGCTGACATTCCATATGCCTGAAAAACAGATGCGAACTTCGGGTGCGAATTTCGAGTGCGAACTATTTTTTTCGCACCAACCTTTTTGTCATTGTGTAAATCCATATACCGAAATTTCGCATGGCCGAGTCCGAAATTCGCATGCGAAGATTTTGTTTCTCACAAGGGAGCGAAACTTTTTTCTTCAGTACCCGAATTCTTCGTGAAGTGGGCGGGGCTCATTTCCCACCAAACCTACTTCCTAGGAACGAAGCAGCATGGAAGCATTCGGGAAAACGTCGAAATATTGATTTCTTGGTTCCAGAGGGAAGTGTTAAAACTAAGACTGAAAAGAGGTGTTTATTTTCAAGGTGGCCGCCATTTCCATGGCAACCACATACTTTTTTTTAAGTTTGTGGGAAACTTTCAGGAGTCTATGTAATCTAACTATGCTATCATTTATCGTTTAGATCATGTAATAATAAAAATAGCATTTCACCTACCCCCCTCCTTAAATGCACTCAAGAATATAACTTCTAACATACACATTAATTATAACTTAAGATTGCTGTCTGTGCCGCACTGAACCGGTGCCATGATTTCAGTTAGAAATGACGGCTATGAATTTCGGGTATATGGAATGAGGGCTCTTTTTTCATCGCACCCGAATTTCGTACGCGAAATTCGCACCCGAAGTTTGCATCGGTTTTTCGATATTTTTTATATGGAATGCCAGCTTTTATAATGTTTATTAAGTCATCTCCTGATCAATGTGTCAATGTCAATATAATATAAAGACCCTTTGACAGCTGACCATACAACAGAATATAAAAATTTTAATACAACATTCTCAGAAATTAAATAGAATCTAGATTAGGTCTAGATCTAGATCTAAAGATCACAGTAACAGGACAGTGGCTTGGTAGTAAAATAATGTGCCAAGTCATGCTCGCATGCTTTTGTGTACGAGATGTCTAGACCTCTAGAATCTAGACAAGTAGCAGGAACAAATTTTAATGGGCTTACCTGGTCACACGCGTCCATTAAAAGTAACGGTTACAGATCTAGATCTAAATAACTTGTGTAAGTAAAGGGTAACTTTACCGATTAGAGCTCTAACTCCTGACTGAGTTATATAGCCAAACAAAGATTCATTGTTATTGATTCTAGAGACAGCAGCAGTGCGACAGGTCGCCAAATAGTCTACCAAAAAGCACAAACTACAAATTACAACAGGAACAATATGTCGTTACCTTTTAGATGTGGAAATTCTTCCGCCCTTCTTGCATCAATAGCAAAATTGTACATGCTTTGTCCCGACATCGCTGGATTTCTGAACCACAATACCAGTCACTCAATGCCCAATGTTTTTGGATCCATTTTGCACAGGTTCACGCTGTCACATGACCTCAATGACCTTTGAACTGTGAACTACAACCTCAGTACTCAAGGCTGCTACTAAAAACAAAACGGAATTGTTCGTACTTGAAACCATTGGTATTTTGAGTGTGACCAAAAAGTATTATACATGTAATTATATTTCAAGCCAAATATTTAATTAATTAATTAATCAAACTCATCAAAACTAACAATACCACTGTAAGATTGAATGTACAGATAGCTCTTTTTGGCATAATGTAGGCGGAGTAATCTTTTTCTAAACCCCAGCAGACCACACAGGGCAGACAAGACGGGGCGAACGAGTGGCGAAGAGAGAGAGAGAGAGAGAGAGAGAGAGAGAGAGAGAGAGAGAGAGAGAGAGGGGGGGGAGGGAGAGAAAGAGATGGGGGGGATAAGAGAGAGTGGGAGAGTGGAGAGAGAGAGAAACTAGAGAGTGGTGGCTTCGACTCCGTTCTATCTTCGTGTATTCTACGGACTAGACACATCTGAGGAGCATAGCCTAACGTTATTGAATTCGCTACCCGATCGTGTATAGTGTACACACCTTGATTTTTTCCTTTACCCCGTGTGCTTGCTTTACTATTACATAATTGTTAGATTTTTCCTCCATCCAGACCCTTTTTGCTTGCAACCAAAGGTATGTCTGCGTATGATTCCTTCCATTGATTTGTACACTTTAGTTTAGTTATAAAGGTTAACGGTTAACTATTGTGTTCGCTAAACAAGCTGCTACACCCGCCTCCTTTACCCTTACCCCTTACCCCAACTTCTAGACTTCTAGACCCATTCACTACTTACTTTTACAGGCACCCACCCTTTTTTCCCCTTTTCACCCACACAGCTTGAAATCTCTCATTTTTCGCTATTAATGATTTTTCAGTTAAGTGTTACCATGTATAAGTGCTGTAGCCTACGTTTTCGCCACACCA